GGCCCTCTTGGGGCGCTCTTCGGGCACTCTTGGGAGCCTTCGGGGCGCTCTTGGGGCCATCATGGAGGAGATCTATCAAAGAAGGGGGTCGTATGTTAGCGCTGCCCCTCTAGAGTGCCTCGAATCGCCTCTTGGGCCCTTCTTGAAGCCAACATCCTTCCAAAACCTAAAGGAAAACAATGTTTTGTGCTTTTTCGCTTTTTCGCTCTTAAAGCCGTCTTGGGCCATCTTGGGAGCCTCTTGAGGCCTCTTGGGGGCTCTTGGGAGCTTCTTGAAGGCGTCTTGGGGGCCTCTTGGGGCCTCTTGGGGCCCTCTTGGGGCGCTCTTGGGGCGCTCTTGGGAGCCTTCGGGGCGCTCTTTGGGCCATGTTGGAGGAGATCTATCACAGCAGGGGGGGTCGTATATTAGCCTTGCCCCTCTAGAGTGTCTCGAATCGCCTCTTGGGCCCTTCTTGAAGCCAGAATCCTTCCAAAACCTAAGGAACTTCAATGTTTTGTGCTTTTTCGCTTTTTCGCTCTTGGAGCCGTCTTGGGCCATCTTGGACGTCCCAACGACCCGCGGAACCCCTCGTCCAGATCAGTGGGGAGGGGTAAGGGGAGGGGTAAACCCCTCCCCGAAGGGAAAGAAGGGGGTTGGCAGAGGAAACGCTCTAGACCACCTACGCCCCAAATTGCTGGTGGGATCACGTGCCCGCACGCGTTCCTCAAATGTACTTGTGAGTTCGGTGTCCAGAAGCCCCCTCCTCCTACTTCCTCTCACCCCTTCCAGAGAGAGAGAGAGAGAGAGAGAGAGAGAGGACAGGCGTCGGCGCTGGTGGCGCAGCGGGAACTCGGGCTCGGCTCATGGGCCGGCCGTGCGTGCCCGCCCGTGGACCCCTGGAGGGGCAGGGCGCGGCGACCCTTCATTTTGGCCCGCCACCTTTTCCAGAGGCCTCCGAAAGCCGAAAGGTAAGGACCCGACCCCTGAAAGGTAAATCAATGATGCGCGGGTGCCTGACAAATACCAGCGAAGAAAACGAAGAGCATAAAACGAACCGATCGCTGCCCTGAGGCTGCCATGGTGGTGTGTAGCGCCTTGAGGACGCAAGCAACCGACAACCGACGAGGGCGCCTACATAGGCTACGGTGTACACAGTGGTATCCACCGATTCGGGGGGTCCTTCGGGCCAGAGGAACAGCCCGACCCCCCCCCTTGGTTTGTGGCGCCTTGTTGGTGCACCCAGAACAGAAAATGACCGCTCGTGGTGGGAGCTCGGTGCGGGGGGGGGTTCTTCGGGCCGAGGGAATAGCCCGAACAAGCCACCTGACTGGCGGTTCTTGACGACGCTCTTAAACATCCAACGGCGGGGCCGCCAGGGGACACAGCGTCCCTGGTGGTGTGTGGAGCCTTAATGGCGCAACCCGCAGCCAACGGGGGCCCCTGCGCAGGCTACAGTGCGCATGGTGTTGGACTCCGTTTTGATCGGTCCTTGAGGCTAAGGGAACGGCCCGAACCCCCCCCCCCCGGGTTTGTGGCGCCTTGTGGGCGCACCCAGAACGCAGAACGTCCGCCCGTGGTAGTGACTGCGTTGAGGGGGGGTGTTGAAGGCTAAGGGAACCGCCCGAACAACCCCCGTGACCTTGATCATCCGATAGCGGGGCCGTCGTGAGTCACGGTTGCTGAGGTGGTGTGTGGCACCTTTGATGGCGCAACCGGCAACCGACAATGGCGCCCACGTAGGCTACAATGCGCGTGGTGGTGGACACCAGTTTGGGGGGGGTCCTTCGGGCCAGAGGAACAGCCCCAACCCTCCCCTTGGTTTGTGGCGCTTTGTTGGCGCTCCCACAAAGAAACGGCCGTAGTGATAGCCCCGGTGCTGGGGGGGGGTCTTCGGGCCCATGGAGCAGCCCGAACGAAACCCTCTGGTTTGTGGCGCCGTGGTGGCGTACCCAATGCAAAACCGACCGCCTAGGCGACCTCCTCAAGGGGGCACTACGGGCCACCGGTTGTGGCGCCATGTGAGCAAGTTGTCGCCATATTTTTTGTGCGTGGGGTGGTGGAGCCCCATTGAGGGTTTGTTTGGGTCTAGGGGCCAGCCCAAATGACCCCCGTTGGCCTGTGTCGCCCCGGCGGCGAAAACCCCAGCGAGTTCAAGGGAGGTGCTCATCGGAGACTGTGTGTTCTTGTGTGTGTGTGTCTCCTTGCAGGCCGCCCCGTGCGTCCTCCCCGAACATTCGACACTGGGGCCAGGCTCACCATCGCTATAGGCTTCAGGGCGCCTAAGCCCATCTTTAAGGATGAGGCGACCTTCGGAGTTCGGTGATCCACGACTGCTTGGAAGTTTCATCCTTTGAATCCTGAGTTTGTGTGGTACGATAGGCATTCGCATGGGAAAAGGCCGGGGTCGTATGCGAACGCGCCCTGCACAATGCGGAACGTGCGTGCTCCGCGCTCTGATTGTTGAGCCCTCTGGTGTGGTCAGCGCGCCGAGTTGTCCGGTGGACAATTACGTGCCCGCGCGCGTTCCTCAAATGTACTTGTGAGCGCGGTGTCCAAAGCCCCCTCCTCCTACTTCCTCTCGTCCCTTCCGGAGAGAGAGAAAGAGAGAGAGAGAGAGAGAGAAAGGACAAGGGCGTCGGCGCTGGTGTCGCGGCGGGAATTCGGGCCCGGCCCTCATGGGCCGGCTGTGCGTGCCCGCCCGTAGACCCCTGGAGGGGCAGGGCGCGGCGACCCTTCCTTTTGGCCTGCCACCTCTTCCAGAGGCCTCCGAAAGCCGAAAGGTAAGAACCCGACCCCCTGAAAGGTAAATCAATGATGCGCGGGTGCCTGACAAAGACCAGCGAAGAAAACGAAGAGCATAAAACGAACCGATCGCTGCCCTGAGGTTGCCATGGTGGTGTGTGGCGCCATGAGGACGCAAGCGACCGACAACCGACAAGGGCGCCTGCATAGGCTACGGTGTGCACAGTGGTATCCACCGTTTGGGGGGGTCTTCCGGGCCAGAGGAACAGCCCGACCCCCCCCCTTGGTTTGTGGCGCCTTGTTGGTGCACCCAAAACAGAAAATGACCGCTCGTGGTGGCTCTGACGCGGGGGGGGGGGCTCTCTTCGGGCCGAGGGAATAGCCCGAACAAACCACCTGACTGGCGGTTCTTTGACGACGCTCTGAAGCATCCAACGGCGGGGCCGTCAGGAGACAAAGCGTCCCTGGTGGTGTGTGGAGCCTTGATGGCGCAGCCCGCAGCCAACGGGGGCGCCCTCGCAGGCTACAGTGCGCATGGTGTTGGACTCCGTTTTGGGGGGGGGTCCTTAGGGTTCAGGGAACACCCCGAAACACTCACCCTGGTTTGTGGCGCCTTGTGGACGCAGGGAACAGCCCGAACGACCCCCGTGACTTTGATCATCCGACACCGGGGCCGTCGTGAGCCACTGTTGCTGAGGTGGAGGGAGCGCGGAGGGGGATGAGGGGAAGGGCACCTAAGCTACGGCGGCATGAAGCGGGAGGGAAGCGAGGGGAGAGTGCTCGAGAGTCCGGTGCAAGCTATCGTGTCCTTTCCTACCGCCCCCGACCTACTACGCAGTTGCGACTCCGGGCGCATGCAGGCGGACAGTTAGGCTAATCACCGTTTGTTATCGCAGTGAGTGCAACAATGTGGGGCCCATTTCATCGGCCACGCGGCCGGGACACGATGCATGTGGCGACGTATACCTTGCGTGCACCGCGTAGCTTGCATTGCACACGCGATAGCGTACAAGATCCTCGTTATCTGTTGTGCGAGTGTGGAGTGGAAGTAGGACCGCCGGCATTGCCGCCGGGCTGTCCCAGAGGTCGATACCTCTGGTGTGCGAGCGTGGAATGAAGGCAGGACCGCCGGCATTGCGCCGGGCTATGTCCTGGAGGTCAGTGCCTCTGGTGTGTGAGCGTTGAGTGGAAACTAGACCGCCGGCCTAACCGCTGGGCTGTGTCCTGGAGGACGATGCCTTTATGGTGTACGAGTGTGGAGTGAAGGCAGGACTGCCACCATTGCCGCCGGGGGGTGTCCTGGAGGTCAGTACCTTTGATGTGCGATTGGTGGATGGCAGCAGGACCGCCGGCATTTGCGCCGGGCTATGTACTGGAGGTCAGTGCCTCTGGTGTGCGTGTGTTGAGTGGAAGCAGGACAGCCGTCCTCGCCGCCGGGCTGTGTCGTGAAGGGCGATGCCTTTATCGCCGGCCTTGCCACTGGGTTGTGTCCTGGAGGCTAGCGCCCGTGCTGGCCTCTTGCCACTGTCGCCCCGCTACTCACTTCTCCAGGGGTTCGGCTGGGGTGCTCGTCGGGTGTGGCAAAACCACACCCTTAGTGGCGCCCCGTGCGTCCCCAGCCGATTCCCCCGAAGGAGTCTGGAACAGTATTTGCACGGGGAGGGGGAGAAGGAAGAGGAGGAGGAGGAGGAGGAGGAGGAGGAGGAGGAGGAGGAGGAGGAGGAGGAGGAGGAGGAGGAGGAGGAGGAGGAGGAGGAAGGAGGAGGAGGAGGATGGAGGAGGAGGAGGAGGAGGAGGAGGAGGAGGAGCAGAAGGAGGAGGAGGAGGAGGAGGAGGAGGAGGAGCAGGAGGAGGAGGAGGAGGAGGAGGAGGAGGAGGAGGAGGAGGAGCAGGAGGAGCAGGAGGAGGAGGAGGAGGAGGAGGAGGAGGAGGAGGAGGAGGAGGAGGAGGAGGAGGAAGAGGAGGAAGAGGAGGAGGAGGAGGAAGAGGAGGAGGAGGAGGAAGAGGCGGAGGAGGAGGAGGAGGAGGCGGAGGAGGAGGAGGAGGAGGAGAGGAGGAGGAAAAGGAGGAGGAGGAGGGGGAGGAGGAGGAGGAGGAGGAGGAACAGGAGCAGGAGGAGGAGGAGACGGAGGAGGAGGAAAATTCTCATGACTGCCCTCCCGCCGGAGTAATTTGAACTCGATTCCGACATCAACATGAAATGCATTTTCTTAGGCTGGAGTATACGCATCGCTGCTTCCGCCCGCTGGTCGCCAGCCCCGCGAGGCGATGTCTCGGCGCTACTGCGCTCCTGCGATCAGCGAGGCGTCGCGGAGGCTACCCACCTACGAGAAGAAGGAGCGCCGCCCTCTAGAGGGGTGGGTGGGTGGGGATGGACGAGGAAGGGCCTGCCGAGGAGGACATGAATGTAATGTGGCTGGTGAGGGTGAGGGCGGAAAAGGAGAACGGGAGAGCCCGATAGCGAGGACAATAATCATACGTGGTGGTAGTGTTCGTGGTCGCAGCAGCAGCAGCAGCAGCAGCAGCAGCAGCAGCAGCAGCAGCAGCAGCAGCAGCAGCAGCAGCAGTAGTGTTTGTGTTTCATTTCCAACGGATAATTATGTTGGCCCCCCCCCGCCCGGCGCGCATTGGAAGTGCCCGCCTGAGCTTCGCACCTGCTTTCTTATTCGGGAAAGTCGGTAGGTTTAAATTGCGATACTGGCCTTCGGACGACCGCAACAAGGGCTCCCGCATGATACCTCATCGCAGGCAGTGAGAAATTGCGCTTTCGCTGAAGCCGGTGCGATCGCTTTAATACCCGCCTACCCGACTCGCCCGCCTCGCCCGACTCGCCCGTTGTGTCCGCCCGCCCGACTTGCCCGTTAGGGTCCGCCTGCCAGTCCTCCTTTTTCTCTGTCCTCCCCCTTCTGCCAAATCTATTTCGTCTTGTCCCCCTCCCCTTTGTTTCCTTCTCCCGTCCTCGCTCTCCCCCTTTGTCCTTTCTCCCTCCTCTTCTTATCGAAGACGCCTACGGCGAATCACCGCCGCCATCTGCCTTTTGGGATACGCCTGCGAGGCCAAACGTCTGGGCAACGTTTGGCCACGCTATTGGACCATGCGTTCCCCCAGCCGTCGTGGAAGCCTTTCGGGGTACACGTCGGGGAGCAAGAGGAGGAGAGAAAGGAAACAGGAGAAAAAGGGGAGAAGGAAGAGGAGGCCTCTTGGGAGTCTCTGGGGCCACTCTTGGGGCCACATGGGAGCTTCCTTGGAGCTTTTTGGAGGTCTTTCGGGGCCTCCTTGGGCCTCTTGGGGGCCTTTTGGGGCTTCCTGGGGGACTTCCTGGGGGACCTCTTTGGCTGGTCTGACGCCGTCGGAAAGCGTCCTGGATGCCTCTCTGAACCGATTCGGGACCCTCTTGGGGCGCTTTAGGGCCGTCTTGGAGGCAATCTTGGGCGTCTTGGGAGTCTCTTGGGCCGTCTAATGGCCCTCTTGGGGGCCGTCTTGGAGGCTTCTTGGACCGTCATGAGTTCATCTTGGAGGCCTTCGGGGCCATCTTGGGGCGATCTTGGGGGCCTCTGGGGCCGTCCTGTGCCGTCGGAAGGCCGAGCATAAGCAAATGTCAACATCCTTGGAGGTCTCTTGGGCCATCTTCGGGGCCTCTTGGGCGCTTCTCAGGCCGTCTTGGGCTATCTTGGACCATCTTGGCGTTATTGGAGGCGCCTCGGGACCGTCTTGGAGGCCATCTTGGTGCTATCTTGGGCCTTCTTGGGGCGATCTTGGCCGTCTTGGAGGCATCTTGGCCATCTTGGAGGCCATTTTGAGGCCATCTTAAGCGAAAAAGCCGACGAGGCACGCACCCAGGTGCAATGGACCGAAGCCCCAAGGGGAGTCGTCTAGCACGCCGGGCACCCCTGTGATACGTCAACAGGGAGCGGCGAATCTAGCGCCCTTAGGCTCATCCCGCCACAGTGCTTGGGTTGTGGGCTCGAGTTCTCAGGGATGCTTCTTGGGGTCTCTTCGGAGCGCTCTCAGGGGCCTCTTAGGGGCAGTTTGGGGGCCTTTTGGGAGCCTTTTTGGGGCCTCTTGGCGGCCTCTTGGGGTTGGGGCCTCTTGGGGCCTCCCGGGGGCCCCTTGGTGCTGAGGTCTCGAAATGTCCGCTCGGGTCCCCCATTTGGGCATCCTTCTTGGGGCCGTCATTCGGGCTTCTTGGGCCGTCTTGGGTGCCTCTTGGGCGGTTTGGGGCCCTCTTGGGCCGTTTTGGAGCCCTCCTGGGGGCCTCTTGGGCCGTCTTGGGGCCTCTTGGGAGCCTCTGGGGCCGTTTTGGAGCGTTGGGAAGCCGAAAAAACGACCACGCAAACAACCGTCAAAGACCATAGGGAATTTCAATGATCGTGGCCCCTTGGGGCCCTCTTGGGGCCCTGTTGGGAAGCCTCTCGAAGGCGTCTTGGGGCGTCTTGGGGACCTCTTGGGCCGTCTGGGGGCCAACTTGAGCGTCTTGGAGCGATCGTTGGGCTACTCGGGGCCCTCTTGGACTATTTTTGGGGTCTCTTTGGAACCTCTTGGCCTGTATTGGCGCCCCTTTGGCTCCGAAAAAGTCAAGCGCCAAACCGCGCCAAGCCGCGCCAAGCCCCGAGAGAGTTGGCAATGTGGGCTCTGGGCCCCGATTCCTCAGGAGTGAGGATTGAGGATTCGAGGATTGGGCAAAGGACATGAGGACACGCCCACTCCGTGGCCAGCGGCACAGTGGCAGATTTCATAGATCACGCTCTAATTATACGTGGCAGGGAAAGAACGTATATA